TGAGGGACGGGGCACATCCATTTCTAACTCCGGCTTGATCCTCAAGTGGCAAGTTGAGAATCTACTTTGGTGTTTTTGAAGAATAACATTGTAATCCCCTCAAAGCATTTTTGAGAAAGCCTCACCAGCACAGTGCAGGGATTAAACAATTCCTGTGTGACATGACTGCCATTCATTTGTTTGAATCTATCTATAATCACATGGTCAATGAGAAATTAGAGGCTTCATTTTCATTGCTGCTAAAGCTGAAGTCATCCCAGTGGTTGCTGGCAGATTGAAGATTTTGGATAGGCTATGCAAAAGGCATTTAGGGATATCAAATGTTGAGAAGAGACAATTTGTGTGATGTCCAAAACTCAATATCCTAGTAAATCCTGCTATTAGTTTTGCACAAACCATACCATATTAATGATTCACTCCCTAAAGGCAAATCAATCATGACAGAAAATGTCGACTGACCCTGTTCAACTGAGAAGGTCACTCTTGATTCTCACACTTGACAGCGGCTGCTAATTTGACTAAAAATTGAAAATCAATTTTCCCTAACGCAGGCACTTTTTAACAAGGCATAATGGGCAAGGCACTGCAATTCTTGGTGAGCTAGCATCTTAAAATTTGCATGCATCTATACTTTCAATCACATTACAGACAGAGTTATCTGCAAATCAATGTGGAAGCAAATCACATCAGAGGTTATTCATTATTTGAACAATTGGGTGATCTGCACCTTAGTCTTGTGGTTTATAGTTCGGCACTTTAACAAAAAGGATCACAAAATCAGGGAATCCTTCATACTTGTACTGGCTCTTTGAAAGAACTTACCAATTTAGTCCCACAATTTAGTCTCCGCTTGTCCTCCATAATCCTCCATGTTATTCCTCCTCAAATATACATCCAAATGCCTTTTGAAATCACCTATAGAATCTGATTTCAGGTCATATGTTCCAGAGCTTATCCTCCCCATGAAAAGTCTCTCCTCCTTTCTGCTCTACTCCACTTTGATCTTATACTATGTCTATAATCTTATATGTATGATCAGTTTTGTATGTAATACAGATTAATGTAATATATAGTTAGTTACCCCATCCCTTTAATAATATGTAGGCCAATTTTCTAAACAAATCTGTCAAAATGTACTTTATTAAAGCCATTGGAAATGCATTTATGCAACTTGATTTGTATCCCCTTCATCAACCCTACCTGTTACTTGGAGGAACTGAGTCCTGTGAGGCACATTTGCCTTCACCAAATCCAAAGTGGTTATCTTTTATTAACTTATGCCCCTCCGAAGAGAGAATTAATTTTGTCCTCGACTACAGTCTCCAGTATGTTTCTCCTCATTGATGTGTGACTGATGGACCAATAATGATCTGGTTTCAGCTTCTCTTTCTTTGGAGTGGAAGTAGAATTTTTAAAAGCCTCTGGTCTTCTTGAACCACTCCTTAACACAAAGAAGATTGATGGATTATTATCAGAGTTTGTACTATTTCCACCTCCACTACTATTGCCTTCTTCAGCAATTAGTGTTGGACCTGGTGGATTATTAACTTTGAGTGATACAAACCTATTTACCCACTTCTAATTATTTTCATCCTATTTAATACCTACACACCTTGTTTCTTTTCTGCAGTGCTAGATAGAATTACTTTTCTGCAATGAGAAACCATCTCTCCCCACCAGTTGGAGAGCCCTCCTAGTTTCTCTCGTTGAGATCTTGTGCTATGTAGGTGCAGTCAGACACTTACAGATTTTCTGATGAAGGGTCGAGGCCCAAAACATCAGCCTTCCTGCTCCTATGATGCTGCTTGGCCTGCTGTGTTCATCCAGCTCTACACCTTTTTATTTCTGAAAAGTAAAGCTTGTTTAATCAAGGTAACCAATAAGCTAGGTTAGAAATGAAAAGCTTCTGTTAACAACATGCCAGTCTAAAACTTCAGTAACTTTTAATGCAACTGTGCAAAGAACAAGGGGTTATGTATATTTCAGCTCCCATCTGTAGATGATGACAGTCAAGGATGAAATTACACATCTGTGGTAATCTGTGATTATGCAACTATCATTATTCTAGAGTATTACAAGACAAGAACCTTTCAACCCATTTGAACTCATGCATTCAGGAATAACTGCCCACCCATCACTTGGGAACTAATATTATTCAAGGGAATTAAATAAGTGTTTGCCTCCACTATTTTGGTGTTTTATCTGGATAGTGATCACTTTTTATATGAAGACAAACTTCAATCCGAAATTTGTCTTGCACTGGTTGGCAATAGTGCTGCCTTCCACTCATGTCAAACACTCAATCTGAATTAGTCTTCTAGATTTACCTATTCTGAGTGAATGATACAACATAGAGGGAACCCATGGAGCGCATCAGACCTGTGCACATATTCTGCTTATTAAACCAAAGTTTCTCCACAAATCCCTGACCCCATGGACGAACTTCTACAGACACATATCAACACGTTCGACTCCGTTGTTTATCAGTAATGATCCACTGATGTAGAAAGATTGAATATGTGGATGCACATTTGTACCAAAGAATGAAATGAAGGGAAAAAAGAATTGAAAGTAAACTGTTAATATTTCACACAAGGGCTTGTGAAGATTTGAGCTCATTCCTGTCCTCCCCACCGCATTTTCCCCATCACATTTGTGGATTGAAATGTTTAAAACTAAAATCAGCAGTATAGTACAGAAGGAGGCCATTCAGCCCATTATTTATGCACTGGCTGAATAAACTATCCATCCATTCTAATTCCACTTTCCAGCATTGGGTCCGTAGCCCTACAGGTTACAGCATGTCAGGTGCAGATAAAGTTCCTTTTAAATGTGCTGAGAATTTCCACCTCAGTGCCTAACTGGGCAGCAAGTTCCAGAAACACACCATCCTGTCAATGAAAATGTTTTTTCTCATGAGCACTCTGATCCTTCTACCAATCATCTTATATTTGTGCTCCCTGGTAATTGGTCTCTCCACTCCATTCAAGTCCCTTGTTATCATATCCATCTCAATGGAATAGAAACATAGAAGATAGGAGCAGGAGGAGCCATTCATCACGATCATGGTTGATCATCCAATTCAATAGCCTAATCCTACTTTCTCCCCATAACCTTTGATCCCATTCGCCCCAGGTGCTATATCTACTCGCCTCTTGAATACATTCAATGTCTTGGCATCAACTATTTCCTGTGGTAATGAATTCCACAGGCTCACCACTCTTTGGGTGAAGAAATGTCTCCTCATCTCCATCCTAAATGGTCTACCCCAAATCCTCAGACTGTGACACACCTACCATCGGGAACATCCTCCCTGCATCTACCTTGTCAAGTCCTGTTAGAATTTTATTAGTCTCAATGAGACGCCCCTCATTCGTCTGAACTCTTAGCGAAAACAATCCCAACCTAATCAATCTCTCCTCATATGCCAGACCCGCCATCCCCGGAATCAGCCTGGTAAACCTTTGCTGCACTCCCTTTGAGAGCAAGAGCGTCCTTCCTCAGAAAAGGAGACCAAAACTGCACACAATATTCTAGGTGTGGCCTCACCAAGGCCCAGTATAACTTCAACAACACATCGCTGTTCTTGTACTCGAAACCTCTCGCAAAGAAGGCCAACATAACATTTGCCTTCTTTACTGCCTGCAGCACCTGGATGCTTACCTTCAGCGACTGGTGCACAAGGACACCCAGGTCCCGCTGCATACTCCTCTTTCCCAATTTACGGCCGGAGGCCATAGGCAATTTCAGGCAACTTGTAAAGGACCCATTAATTCCTACTTTTTGTTTCCTATCTGCCGACCAGTTTTCTATCCATCTCAATACACTTTCCCCAGTCCCATGCAGTTTAATCTTGCACATTCATCTCTTATGTGGGATTTTGTCAAACACTTTCTGAAAG